TTAAAAAAAAAAAAAAAAAAAAAAAAAAAAAAAAATTAGAAAACAAAACAAAATGTGAATAAAAAATGTTAATGTAAATATAAATAATGAATAAAAATATCGAGTATAGAAGAATGTATATCAGAGTCAGTTTGAGTTACGAAAAATACAATTTATGATAAAGCCGTAATTAACTAAATTATAAAAAAAAAAAATATGTTTTTTTTTTCTATTGAGAATCAGCATTTTTGTAAATCTTTAAACAATCAATAGCTTCCTACGAATCAAAATAATGTTTATGCTTACTTTAATAATATTGATAACATATAACAATTACGTTTACAATGAATGTTACTTAAAGCACGGCTTAGTCGTAAAAACGAAAATGAAATCTCAAGTTTCTCAAATATTACCTCGTAAGTATAGTTCGCCAGATAAAGATATGCTCGATGGCTTGAAGTACGAAGAAATAATGCGTCTGAATGCAATTTCCAACCCTCGAAGAAGATACGGGAAATTTTATTCCGTTCCTTCTAGTATTAACTGACCACATGTGTGTGTGCACGTAAGAGACGTTGAGTCATGCGTTATTGACTAGAAGAGCAAGGAAGAGTGATAAAACAGAGCACATAAGTTGTTTTCTGACTACGTTCCAAGCATTTAGAGAGCAATTTTTTTAAAATGCAGGGATACGACTGATAACATTATTTTGATATGGACCAGTAGTACAGTACATCTAAGAACATTCTTTAATCATAAAACATACAATTATTTGAGAGTTATTCTTACTTGATTATGCAATTAAAATTTATAAGTTTTAGTTATGAATAACAGAGCGCTTTACAGAAATAATGTATCACGTGTCATAAATTTGAAAACGGTAAATAAATTCTCTCGTAAAAATAATTTAATTTACTCATACTTTCATTTTACACCCGAGTAATTACGTAATTGCTTTTAATAAAAAGTTTTCGTTAAAATATATTTTTTATTCGAAGCTTTTATTTATGCATTGTAGTTAATAAATTTAAAAAATTTTAATTTACTTAATTATGTATCCTCTGTGCTGTTGAACAATATAATTATTCAAATGCAAATTCAAATTAAAATATATTTGAATATTGTAATTTTCGCCAATGTATAATATTTCATCATTATACACGTACACGTTTATAAAAATTATATATTTTAATACAATTTTATTTAGTATTTAATTAACGTAATTTAATTTAACGCAAATTATTTAAAATTTATATTAATTTCATGTGCGCGTATATACACATATTTTTATGCATTTACGAAGCGAAGAAAGTAATTTGGATCCGTAGCAGTAAGAATATATGCTCATTTTATTTAAAAATTTTCAAACGGTAATTGAATTTATGCAGGTCTTAAGCCCGGTGATTTTCCATTTACATTATGTATATAATCGGGCCAATGTCCAGCAAAGCATAAGAAGTGAAAAAGTGCGAAATTGATAAGGAGAGAGGATGATGAAGGGATAAAAATATAGCGGTGAATAAGAAATATCGAGGAAAATGTCTCAAGCCGTTGGGAATGTGTTAGAATGAGTTTAGAGGAAGAGTTCTAAATTTAATATGAATGTCTTCAATATGAATAGTTTGAGCGACAAGGAGACACGTTGGCCTTGTACGTGGGAAGTTTGCACCAGAAGCGCGACACTACTACCTGCGAAAAGTACCAGCTTAATCAGCACTGAGTCTCTTTACCTCCACATTAAAAATTAATAGTGAATATTTTGATTTGATAATTGTCCATCCTACTTTTCTACTCGGATAGATGACAATGTTTGGAGGGGAGGGGGGTTAGACATTGCGAATCACCAGCTTTGAATTGAGAAAACAGTACAGTTTTCAGCTTCTTTATTTCCAACATCCATATTAGCCATAAAATAATACTTACTCCTAAGTAACGAAGAAATTACATTACAGTTGCGTTTGCTTCGCCATGGATTTGAAATCGATAATATTAATAGATCGATAAGTAATATGAAAATATTCATGGATGAAGATCGCTTAGATAATTTGAGTCACACACATGTCATCGTAATCGAGAGTAATTTTATACATTGTCAAAATATAATTCATATGTTATTTAATTTATTATTTAACGTAGAAATGCGCTTGCTTTAATACATTTTTGTTTCTTGTTTGGTTGCATGTAGGTAGCCGAGAAACTTGTGACATCGAGGGCGAGGATTTCACCGTCGATAAAATTCCAAATACAAAGTGCTTCAACTGCATCTGTAAGGTAATAAAAATTCATATATAGAATTCTCGATACATGAACAAATATCAATCTTATCGCGATATCAATATTTATACCAATGACCTCGTAAATAAAGTAGAGGCATCACATTTACTATCTATCCACATATATTGTAAATCTTAGGACATTTTAATAAACTGAAGGAAAGATAGTTTTAATAAAATCATAAAGCTATTTAAAAACTTGAGAATTAAGAATAAAAAAAATTATTGGTCAAATTTGCATGTAATATTATCTTATATGACAATGAATTATTTAAGATATTTAGAATGAAATTTGATAAAATTTCATTTCTAACATACATAAATAGTATAATATATCGTTTATTATAAGAATAACCATTAAACTAAAGAGAATTTTATTTTGTTTTAGTTTTGTTTTATTTTACAAAGCATAATACGAATGATATATATTATTATTTATCATATTTACGCAATAATATTACTGTAAAAGCGATCCAAATCATTAGATTAATAACCAGTGTATTTGACATTTTTAAATGATACAATTGATTCGCGAAATTGTCAAAGTCGAATCGGTGAAAGGCCGCTTATTCATTTGCTATAAGAAAACAACCCTCCAAAATGTTAAATAATTAAAAAGTAATATGTTTATATTTTAAGGAAGAGAATGGAGACTGTTAAGTAACATGGGGAGAAAACGTTTATTATTCAGTTTTGAATGTTTTCGCAATGGCTTCTAAAAGTTTCCAGCGCTCCAATTAATCTCCGCTTGAAGTAATTTCATTTGTAATGCGAGAATTTTGAGCGATCGATTAATACACGGTCAAAGATCGCGGAATGCCAATGTTCGCGCGATCACGCACACATTGAGAGCGACGTAGCCAAGAATGAGTTCACAGGCCTTTTCATTTGTATCATTTACGAAGGATAATTACGTGTTCGCCATCCGCTGGCATCTGTTCATTCTCGGCCTGCCAATCAATTGTTTCGATGAAATATCAATTAGGTTACGCTCGTTCTTATAAACAAACTGTACTTTAGACGGGCATTAAATGCTCGTTGAAGTTTAAAATTATTATCGCTTCGAAATTGTAATCTTGTATTGATAAAATTTTTGTTATGATTTATATACGACTTCCTATCGTCTTTTCAATGTGAATTCATCCATTTTCCAGGAATATTCTCGCAGATTTATTAATATTGTATTATAACAATAATTATAATTAGATATACGATATATAAATATATATTTGGTTACATTATTTACTTATTTAATATAGCGATTGACGCTTAATAGTTTTTAAATCATTAAATAGAATAAGATTTCAGTTACTTTTATTTTATTATTTAAATGAATTAAGTAATTTTGCATTTTCCACTATAGATTTTGCATTAATAATATTTGAATTATAACACTTATTTTATTATGTACTATTTTAATCGTCTTGACTATATGATGAATTAATTACTTAGTAATAAAGTATTTTTTGCACATTGAAATACAGGCATTTATTATTATTGACTTTTATTCAACTCAATATATTAACGATTTATATATAATATATATTATTATTTAGTATAATTATTTAATATATATATATATATATCTAGTGTTATGAGCCATGGGTAGAATTAAAATTTTTGTTATACATACGTTTATCATATTGAATACTATTATAATAATATAGAGATTATTTAAATAGTGAATTGTATTATAAATTAACATTTTAAACGATCAGAAGTATAAAGAAATTATGGATAGAGCTTACGTTTATTTTTATTATAGACGCAATGTATATATATATATATATATATATATATATATATATATATATATCTGATCTAATTATTGCTGGTTTTGTGTTCAGTAGTATTATATATTACATATTTATTGTTCGTATGGATATTACAAATTTTACAATTTCTTTGAAACATATTCACTAACGAATTTTTAATTATGTATAAATCTTGACCTAAATACGATTTAGTCGTAGCAACCCAAATGGGTATTGTAAATTAAATGAGTGATTATTTAAATTAATTATATCTTTTTGAATAGTGTCTACAAATAATTTGCCATTCTTAAATATGATATAAACTATTAATATAAGAAATGAAAAGATCAATTAATTTTGGGGGGTTTTTTTTTTTTTTTTTTTTTTTTTGCTTTCTTTATTTATAAACTCAAAAATAAGAAAGAGAAACGCTTTTATCATATCATGTAATAATAATCATAATAATGTAACATGAGAATATATATAACTTTATATGTTATATGTCGAGGTCATTGGCATTTATAGTATTTAAAGTGTTTATGCAGAGGCATTAAATGTGTCGAAAAGTCAGATCGATTCCTCTTGCAATTTTATTTTATCGAGCCACGGGAGAGGCTTGTCCGTTGAAATCGCTTACTTAACATTCGTTTAGTTAGTCCATCGGCTCATCATTTTGTATCGAGATTTAACGTTTCGTCATGCGTGCGCTTGGCCACTAAATGCGCATGTAAAAAGTGACAGTTGGAGCGGGAGGTCGTCACCAGTGATTGTCTCTGTGACATAATTAGGTGCTATTGTCGAGAATCGGAATGATCGACCATCGCGCAGTCTAAGACGATGCTCCGCTTCCTCGCTTTCGCGCTCTGTTTCTTGATTGCTGGCATTCGCTATCCATTTGCAATTCACAATACCACCGACATTCGCATTATCTTCTCCCGGTTACTTTGTTTTTTACTTTGCGATTGAGCTCCTGATTATACTTGATAGTGCAATTGAGAAAAAATCAAGCGCATTATTGTTTGTATAGTAATTATACTCAATTGATTAGGTTAATCGTTGGATATTGAATATAACTTTTATTTGGATAAAAAGTATTTGTTGAATTGTGAAAAAAGTATTATTTCCTATAATGTAATCATCATTTTACATAACATTGTGAATAATATAATAATTTTATAATTATAATAAATAGAATATAAATGATTAATGCTTACACGTGAAATTATAAGTGTGTATATATTAATTAGATATAACCGTGAATTTCTCTATTAATGTGTGTCATTAAGAATATCAAAGAATTTATGTAGAATTAGTTTAGTATTATCTAAATAATCATAGGACTTTTCGTAATAATTATGAGAAATATTTGATAGGAAATAATATTTAGCTTACGGGTAATTTTTTTTCCTAATTAATGGAAATCCATGAAATTTTCGAAATGGTTGATATAATGATAATGGAAAGATGTTATATAATACACCGATTCAGAGAAACTCTAACCTATGAAACTTTTAAACACACAACTCTATTACATTCGCAATTTTTATTATTATTGTTGTTGTTATTACTATATTTGTTGTCATTACTTATGTTGTTATTACTATTGTTGTTGTTGCTGTAGCTGTTATCGTTGTCATTGTCGTTTTATCATTGTCATCATTATCGTTATTATTGCAAATGAAGTTTGCAAATGATAGTTATATGATAATCTTAATCTTTACATTAAATTTATAATAATATAAATTTTATATAAATATAAGCATTTTATTGGGAAGTAGCCGAGATAATAATATATTTATTTGTACGTCGGAAAGCAGGAAATTTATAGACAATAGTTCCTAGATATGATTTTAATTTACTTGTTATTTCGGCTGCCCCGAATATAGAAATTTAATTTTGATTTACCCTCCGCAACATTAACACTCGAAGCCTGAAGCTTATTTACAATGGGACAAGAATAGAGAAGAACTTAATGTCGGGATAAAAAATTGCACACGAGGCATATGCATCCAATTTTATAAATTAACTAGCTGTTAAATAAATCGCTACGATAAATTTCCTTGTCAAATTCGCCAAATACGCCGGTGCTAGTTTAAAAAAAAAAAAAAAAAAAAAGCCGCGCTCAAGGATTGTCGTAAAATGATCATATCATGCATTTGCATGCAAATTGTGGTAAGGATATTTTTCCATGGTACAGCCAGACAGTCGCACTGCGCGCCTACTCGACAAGTTCGTTAGAAATCAACGTGCCACCATTCTCTCTCATTCCTTCACAAACAACAACAGTAACAACAGCAACAAACAAACAAAAAACAAAACGTAAACGAAAAAAGTGTCTGCAGTGGGGGGGGGGGGGGGGGGGGGGGGGGGGGGGGGGGGGGGGTGTGGCTATAATTTTCAAGCCGCGCTCCCTTAAAGTCACTGTAAGGCCATCACTGTAAGATCGCCGCACGCGCGCACTCTCATCCTACTATAATGTGACATAAACAAAGGATTTATCGACTCGTAGGAGTCGTGGCGGACACGCCGAGCGGCCACTAGGACATTAATTTACTCGCCGCCCGGCCATGCAATCGATAACGGATTCGCCTCGTAGCCACCCGGCCGACGCCCAGCGAACGCGCGGTTCCGCAATATTTAAGGCGCTTGAAACGACTGATGCCTTGTGCCTTTGCTTTTGCAGAACGGCTTCGTTGAGTGTCTGAAGCAGCAGTGCCCGAGCATCGAGGGCTGCTACATGCTCCTGGACCCGAGGAAGGAGGAGTGCTGTCAGAAATGCAAAGGTACGCATGATACACTCAGTGCTCCGTGCACCCATTCGACTTCACGCTCTTGACTACTATTTTTAGCTACGAGTTAGTTTTTCTTTTTTTTTTTATTTTTTTACCTCTCACCCACTCTCTCGCCCCTCCCATTTCCTCTCATCCCGTCACAGACTATCTGACTCTGGCTTCGTTTACGTGCCAGACTTAACAAAAACGTATGCACGCGGTAATAAGGCGTTTCGCTCGGCGGCAAACTTTTACGCCTTGGGATTTTCGTGTGTAAGTAGGCTGTATATATTCGATCGATCGATCGATCGAATCTTTTGTAAAATCATAATCAGAATAAGAATGGAGCTTGACATTCAAGGGGGAGAAAGAGTCGTTGCCCTTGTTTATTTAGCCGTGAAGATAATTGTTGATATAGAATTTGTAAAAGTATGTAGCGGCAGTGCTACTGGGGAGTACATTCTTTTTTTTTTTTTTTTTTTTTTTTTTTTTTTTTCTTTTTAATAAATTCTTTAATATTGGACAATGAAATGAGTTATTTATTTGACTTTCGAAGTGGATTAATTAATCAATACGTTTAGTGCCGACATTTGCCTGAAAATGTCGGCATTCCATAA